CAGACACACACACACACACAGGGAGGAGAGGGAGGGCAAATAAAAAAAACAGAAACAGGATTAGTTTGCTGGCATCTGTGGGGATAATAAACATTAATGTTATACAGTAAACTCAGCAATGTCTGTTAAAATACTCAAGACCTCCACAGACCCCTGCAGTCCACACACACATAACACAACAAATAAACACCACTGACGTTCACATGACTGTAGGGTAAAATGATAGCGAGAGTGTGAGATGGAGAAGTGAATAGAGAGAAGAGATGGATGAGTGTGGAGAGGAGACAGACTGTCTAGACAAGACTAGATTGGCTGGAGACTCATAACGGCTCTGAGGAAGCAGCACAGTGCTGGTGTGTTCACAAATACTGTGCATATGCAAAAAATGCACAAATCTGCATGCCAAAAGACACAGAAGTAAAAACAGAAACAAAAAGACATAGAAAATACAAGTAAAATGCTTACTGTGTAGACCATATTTCCAACAAACAGGTAATCATTTCCCTGACCGTCACTGAAGGCAGAGTCTGCGGGGCAAACACACACATACACAGATGCCTCATGACAAAGTGTTACCAGTCAGAATTATATTGTATGTAATGGAATTACTCTGTCAAGTCACTTACCATGCTCTAACATTTTGAGCGGAAACCAAAAGAGAATAATTGAATGAATCAGTGCATTGATACAGTGACCCCAAAACACCTGAAAGACAGAGAGACAGAAAGGGGAGAAAAGAGAGGAAAACAAGTCAGTGCAAACTAATGCCAAAGCACATATATGCCCCCACACTCCCACCCAAATAAAAACAGCAATTCCTCACAGTTACATACAACTTCCACTGTGTTCTTGCCATAAAAAGTGCCCTCCTGTACTGTACACACAGTCGCACACATACAGTAGGTTAGGTTGCTGGTGTACCCTCTAAAATGAAAGACTTCCTTATTCTGGCTCTATGAATCTCATTAGGGGTTGCCATGGATACATCCCACTCTCCATGCCACTCTTGTTTACTCGCTGGTGTCCCAAACAAACAGCAGGCATCACTCGTCAACCCCACAAACGAGCCACAAGGCATGACAAGTCACACGCAGAGTGGAAAAATGACAGACATAGTTTTGATTTAAGATGCAGCACGTGGTTTGCGTGTTGGCGCAGACCGTAAAAGTGCGTATGTACCTTGGTGTTGAAGCCCTCGGCATTCTGGGTGATTCGGTAGAGCTGTGGGAAACGGAGCATGTTCTGTTGGCTGCACGGCCGATCAAATATCCCCAGAGTGAAAGGAGGCAGTGCAGTAAATATCTGCATTACACACAAAATACACATACGGCCATTAAACCACATAATAACAGAACAGGCTGCATACATATATACATATACACTTCAACTAGCTGGACAATCGGAGTTCATATCAGACGGTCAGCAGTAAAAGGAATTCTATAATGTTTTGGGGAGCCTGAAGGCATCTGTAGTCAGACATATAAGTACACACAGCAGTCACAAAACACTCAGAAAAACACTCTTTGCATACAAACGTTTGTGGCATTCAGAAAGAGCAGTGATAAGACGACAAGTAGAGTGAGATTGATTGAGAGATAAGTAGAGAGTGAGAGACGGCACTTAACAGGGAGGGGGTGAAACCGAGGGAGAAATGGAAAAGAGAGAGACAGTTTGAGAGGGAGTGAGGGCGGGTACTCACCACATTGTAGAGGCCTATACACCAGCGCTCAAAAAGGATCTGGCCAGAGAACCCGTTCACAAAGGCAAACCAGAGCTGGGACACAAAGAGAGGGATGAGAGGGGATGAGAGGAACAATAGCGGAGGGTAAATCTGCCTTAGGGAGGTACTGATAGTGGAAACAGCAGGGAGAGATGGCCAATTTTGTGGCTCTGTTTACAAAATTATATGATAACACATGATAAAATAACTTCAGTAGAACATGGAGCATTTTGTATTTTATAGCGCCAGAAGAAACAAAAAATTCTGCTCACTGTCTGTACTTGAACGTCTATCATGAAGTTTTGTTTTCATACCCATTTACACATCCTAACTAAATATCGTCCCCACTCTTTTGTAGCATTTTACAGTTTCCTTAGCCAGTTTATGTTGTTTGTATTCACTGTTGTACAACATTTTACTGCTGTCCTCCTGGCGAGGTCTCTCTTGGAAAAACAGATTTTACGCTCAACAGACTTGTAACCTGGCTAACAGGTACGAAAAAAACAAAATAAATATTGAGGCAAATAGAAAACTTGACAGAAAGCACCAGGCTTCATGGGAAATGTGGTCATAATTTTGAGAAACACGAGTTAACACTGAGGCAAAAAAGAGATGGTGACACCATTTGTTTACAGTAATTATTCACAAGCATAATTATTCATCTGGTGATGTTGCACAGATTTTTAAATATAAAATATGCCAATACTGTAGTTGCACTTCCTGTAGCTCCATTAAGTCTTCTGGCAAGAAGTTTTAAATGCACACAAGTTGTGGCCAGCTGTGAAACCACTTTCTGACTTTATAGAAGTTAATTTACTGAAACACACAGTGTCTAAATGTGACTCCGGCCCAGGGGAAACCTTCATTAACGCCTTTATAAACACACACACTCACACACACAGTGCAGACACAGGCTGATCTGAGGGCAGATAGAGAAAATGTTTGGGGCCACTGGTGGGAGTTGTGGCATTCCTGGGCATACAGTGAAGCATACAGCCTAGGGGAGAGGTCAGATACACAAAAACACACACCCCATCCCCCTTATTCTGTCTCCACCAAGTGGACAGAGACAGTCTCTAACCTTTGGCCTAGAGCAATCTGCAGGGAGCCAATCATGTGAGATAATCATGGAAACACACACACACAGACAGAGAGTGGTGGTGTGAGCGGGACAGTCGGCTACAGGCTGCGGCTCCCATGAGGACCTGCACCTGCTGGCATCCTTAATGTCAGACAGAGGGGTGAGGCAGGGTGGAGCACAGCTGACGAATACCCCTCATAACAGGCAGGCCAGGGCTGCATTGTGCCCCTTCATCGCGCACACACACACAAAGCTGTCAACCCTTGGAGCCAAGGTCTCGTCACTGCTGATCTAAACACACGTTTCTTTATGTGCGTGTACGTGTGCACAAGAGACAGAAAGCAGACACCAGAAGGGCACCTCGTCCATCACTGTCAGCCATGTCGACAAACAGCTGCAAAACGTCTCTGTTAATGTAACTGTGTGTGTGTGTGTGTGTGTGTGTGTGTGTGTGCACAGACCATTTGGTGGCTCATGGGCGAATGGCGGAAAAGGACGCCAGGAAGAAGTTCAAGCAGATTGTTGCAGCAGTCCATTTCTGTCACTGCCGCAACATCGTCCACAGAGACCTGAAGGCTGAGAATCTGCTGCTGGACCACAACCTCAACATCAAAATCGCAGGTATGTGTGTGTTTTCACTTAAGAATGTATGGGTGGGAAACTTAATATAGTGGTTTTGGGCTGTTTGGTGAGTGGGCGTAGGCAAGTGTCAGCATGTGCTTTTGGAGCATTTCTCCTGGGTTGACTCTGTATTTTTTACTCTGTAGAGGAAAGTGATAAGATTGAATAAACTTCTCTCTCCCCCCGTCAGATTTTGGCTTCAGTAACCTGTTTTCTCGAGGCCAGCTATTGAAGACATGGTGTGGCAGTCCTCCTTATGCTGCACCAGAACTCTTTGAGGGCAAGGAGTACGACGGACCTAAAGTAGATATATGGGTGAGTAGACTATTAGGTATGCGTAAGGTCACGTTGGGCTGCAGCACAGGGTGTAGCTACCTTGCTTAAACTTTCCAGGAAGACGAATACAAAAGAATCCTGAATTTAGAGAGGCCCCCGGCATGTTTTTGCTTCAAAATGTACTACCCAATTTCTTCAATAGTCTAAGGCGCTCTTGATCCATGTTCATAATAATTAAAATAACAGTTTTTTTAAATGCATGTTTTCAAATGATGTACTCACAGTTTACTTGTTGTCTTATCTCTGTATAGAGCTTAGGTGTGGTGTTATATGTGTTGGTGTGCGGCGCCCTGCCTTTCGATGGCAGCACTCTACAAAATTTGCGGGCACGTGTCCTCAGTGGCAAGTTCCGCATCCCCTTCTTCATGTCCACAGGTAGGTAGTCCGCTTTTACTCTTTCCCTGGTCTCTTCTTGTCCTCCTCCTGACCATACCTTAATCAGTGCAAGATGTCACTTGCTTTTTTCATTCAAGGGACAAGAAAATTGTGTGCTACTTCACCGAAAATCCATTTCTTTAGCGTGAAGCACTTACCACTATCGCCTTGAAATGTGGCTATTAGAGGTGCCCAACACACAATGGCTGCTGATCCTCCTGATTCCCAGTCGAGTAGTCATTAGATAAAGTCAGTAGCCGACTAGTTGTCGCATGTTTTTGATATTAATTTAATTATTTAAATATATATTTTAACAGCCACCTGTTGCAACAATAAACGAGAGTGAATATTTAGTTAATTTATTTCGTATAACATCACACAAGTCTTATTAGTTATTGTTTAAGACACAGAGTAAATAACTTCCAACTTCACAAAAACAAACTTATCGATGTGATAAATGATGTATAACATTAACAGTTACTTACCAAAATATCTCCTGTGTTAAAAGACAAAAGGTAAAAATCAGCTCCCGAACAAAGTTTGTTTTTATTTTTCTGCTGTTCAGGTCGATTAGGCCTCTTCTCTCCATCTAATGATTAGGTCGACTATCAGGGGGCAGCCTTAAAACAAACAACAAAAAAAAAATCTATGAACTCACTGCGTATCCTTAAGGTCTAATAAACATGTTAAGTGCATGTCCTTCCTCATAGAAGATTTACAAAGTTGATTTTGTATCGTGCAGTATTTATATCCATGTTTGCTTGCTAGCAGTCTTCTTCTCTTACTGCCTTTTGTTAGGGCTTTTGTGGTGGTGGTTACCACCACAAACTAATGATCAGGGGAATAGTGTGAGACAGATGGCAGGATGTGAATTGTCCCACTCATGCATGTACTATGTGCGCCCTTGTGCACAATACGAAGAAAAGAGGGACTCTCATTAAAACGTTGCTCTAATAGTGCTCCTGGTGTGGATACATTCACCACTGTACTCTTTAACAGTTGCTTTCAACTTCAATTTAAGTTTATTACATTTCCAATAGTGAACATATACAGTGGAAAGAACTGAACTAATGGATATGCAGTAGAGGATTCAGGATTAGACTGGAATTTGTTGTAACCAACCAACAGCCACCATTTAAGCTTACAAGGGTGACTATTGGATTAAATCATTTTGAGTGGAGTATTGCCCCAAGCCACCTTTTCCTTTTTAAATGCACAGTAGGTACAGTATGCTACCACCAAATGAAAGTGATACATTATGAGCAATACAAACTATTTTACATAGTAAAAACAATTGCTGCTTTTTTTTTGTCTTTACTGTCCCTTTGCATCTTCTCCAAACAGTCAAGTTGCTTTAACATATATTATGTTTGAAGTGGTGTTATGCAATGTGAGTGCATCTGTATGTTTGTGTGTTTATTGCAGACTGTGAGTACTTGATCAGACACATGTTAGTGCTGGAGCCCAGCAGACGGTTAACCATGGAGCAGATCTGTAAGAACAAGTGGATGAGACTAGGAGACCCAGACCCAGACTTCGACAGGGTGAGACCCCACTAAAAGTTTCCAGCACTCAGCAATGGGCCTGTTCGAGATGAACTGCGCCTCGCCTGGAAAGTGGATGAGGTCAGGCAGCAGGAGGCAGAGACAAAAAGTTTCAGTCAAGTCAGACAGTTTCTAGTAGCCTCCAAAGAATATACAGGAAGTCACAAAATGTTTACACCATGTTAGATCATCTTTAGGCTACCTGTAGTTTGCAGACCATGTTCAGATATATCATTATTGTTATTGTTATTATGATCAACCACACAACATATGTTTAACAGATTAAACCTTCATTGCACAACATGAGACACGAAACAGCCTATCATTAAAGTTAAATATTACTATATTAGATTTATATTAAATTTATATTATATTAAAATCACACTAAAAAAATCTGAAAACATGGTGTTTGGTTCTAAGGTTTGACAACAATCAGTTCTTCTGCTGTTTCCCATCATGCCCTGGGTCTTGCAGTCGATGGCGAGCAACTGCAGCGTGCAGCTAACCGCACTGTGCTTCGGTTGCCACTGACCGATTCTGTGCAGGCCGGGCCCATCAACTATACGTATAGGTTAGAGCCATCTGCCAGCTAGCTTAGCTTGGCACAAAAACTAGAAACAGGGAAACAGCTAACCTGCGTCTGTCCGCACAACACACCTTACACACCCTAATTGAGATATAATTGTTATATAGTTTATTTTACCAAACTCGCCACCAGAAAGCAAATAAGCGCATTTCCTAAAATGTCGCACTATTCCTTAAACTTAATTTTTACAATACACGCCCATCCCCATCTCTTCCCCCTTCCAGTTGATAGTGGAGTGTGAGCAGGTGAAGACTGAGAGAGAGACGGAGGTCATCATTGAGCAGGTTCTGATAGCCATGTCGGAGATGGGCCTGGAGCGAGAGCGCACACTTAAGGTGGGACACAAATGCACAGCTACACTCACACTGATGTATTTCAGTTTCCAGCACTGCCTTTTGTCAACTTATTTATATCCTGCTTTTTCCTCTCGAAGTCTCTACAAACAGATGCATACGATCACTACAGTGCCATCTACAGTCTGCTGGCTGACCGCCTCAAGAAACACAAGACCTTGCCTGTTGCCCCACCCACACCACGCTCCATTAGCTATACTCTTAATGCTGTACAGGTAATTCATTGTCTATTTGTTGGAATGATATGATATGATGATGATCCTATGTGTATCTGTTTATAATATATAATATATCCATTGATTATTTGAACATATGATCCTTATATCAGGAGCTTCTTCATTGTCATAGAAGTAACGGTTGTTTGGTAGCGCTTGAAGAACAGTGGTTTTGTTGAAGGCGCCTTAGGACTGCTTTTTTCACACCACTGTTTCACCAGTTTAACTTACAGTAGTTATCATGTTCAACCACTGAATGTCCTTGATTCGTTTTAACCCACGCCTGCCAATCCCACTGCACTAAGGAGATTGTTCATAAACTCGTGCAATCCTCACATTAACTGTGTGTGTGTGTGTGTGTTTGTGTGCGTGCCAAACAGACGGATCCGCAGGGTAATCCCATTAGCATGACTGTTCCCCATGTCCAGCTCATCAACCCAGAGAACCAGATTGTTGAGGTGAGTTGAGCTGGTTGCGTCAGCCTGACAGTAGGTGGACAGCACTGAGGGTCATCATGCTTGATAATCAAACTAGGACCAGGCAGCTTTCCTTCCAGGAGAAGAAGTGTAGTATAAGTCAGTCAACACAACTGCGTTCAGTCTTCATATTTTTGATGGTTTGCCCATTTGTAGTCACTGGCTGTCCGTCCAGTATTTCCAGTTTACAACTATAGTTTACTACTGTTAGTGTAACCTGGGATTCATTTCATAGACTGTGATCAGACACATAATCACACATACATGCACACACACTCAAACATAACCCGCACAGCCTCAAAGCTGACTCACAAATGCTGTGAAACACAAGAATGCGTCAGATCACTGCACTGCAGCAGGGATTTTAATAGAAGACCTGAACTGTGAAGCATGTACAGTACTGTCTATTACAATTAAAATACATGTAAAATACGTATTATGTACAAGCGTGCAAGACACACTACCCAAAAGGCATTTCTAATGACCAAATATGTGTGTGTTTATTGTTTAGCCGGATGGCAGCATGGCACTGGACAGTGATGAAGGGGAGGAACCATCTCCCGAGGCCATGGCTCGCTATCTTTCGATGAGGCGACACACTGTGGGCGTACCAGACCAAAGGTAACACACAACTCTCCAGCCAACTACCAGTGATGTTTCATTTATTACTACAGCATTATAAATAGCATTTTTACTGTCAGATGACAGCAGTCTCTTTTGTCTTTTAAAGAAATTGCCTCTGTACTTTTCTTAAAACCATAACTCCAAAATCTCTGTCACCCATTATTTGCTTGCATTTTTATCTAAGCAAGTCAGGTTATGGTGTCAACTTCAAATCAATCAAATGTTATAATTAATAGATTTTTTGGAAGTGTTTATTGGTGGGTGCATTGATACAAGGATGGTGGACTGTGGGTTATTTAAGGTGAATCTGATTCCAAATTAGACATTAACCAGTACATGAGCTAGTTCCTAACATATAAATGTAGCTAGTGACTCATTACTGGTGATCTCCCCTCCCACCACAGGACAGAGATGCAGGAGGACCTCCAGAAACTGCCACCAGGTTTCCCTCGTGGTGCAGTGCCCCAACCCCCATTTCCCCCACTGGCCCCCACAATGGGCCAAATGCACACACTCATGCCCACGCAGAGCTTGCAGCCCACACAGCAGCTGGAGTACAAGGTACAGTTGGGTTAGATTTGTCGTGGGGTTTTTCAGTTGGCACTAGAAGGCCTCTGGAAGTCATCAGTTCAGAAACCTCCATGTGGAGGGTCTACATATCAACTTTATTGATCTCCCCCTCCAATCTGACTTCCTGTCTCTGCTGATCCTTCAGGAGCAGTCCTTGCTGCAGCCACCCACCCTACAGTTGCTCAACGGCATGGGCCCTCTTGGTCGAAGAGCTTCCGATGGCGGGGCCAACATTCAACTACACGCTCAGCTCCTCAAGAGGCCCCGGGGGCCTTCACCACTTGTCGCCAGCCCTGTAAGCATCTGGATTTCTGTATGTGTGCAATTTGTATTTTCCACCCTTGTGTAAACTGTAGGAGTGCTGACTGGTAAACTCTTTGCCTCTCTTAGCACCCTATCCCTGCGGTAGCTCCCGTGGATGAGGAAGGTTCAGACGGAGAGCCAGACCAAGAGGCAGTACAGAGGTAACCCACGATGATAGTTTTTGGTGAAGGGCTATACTGTACAGAAGTGCTGTCTAAACTGGATACTCTGGAGGGCCCGTAACCTGTGACGGTGGGTCGTGGGTTCTGTGTGAATGTTGAAATAGAATAGCTAGCTTAAAAATGAGTAATTTTCTCAAAGTGTCAGCACCAATTTTATTAGTTAGGTTTACGTTCATTCTCTCACTGGATACAAAACTAAGAAAAAAAATCACTGGGTTTACAAGTATTAGAGTCACGCAGTGGAGATTTACTGACATGTTTATGCACAAATCTAGAAAAACTGTCAAAATAGGAGCTTTGACAGGCTGACATTAGGGCAGGGTAAGGGTAGGTTTGGTATATGGAGTTGTGGTGTTGGAAGTCCATGTTAGGGTTTCCCAGCTGGTCCTCTTCAGACAGCACTTTCTGTAGACTCCGCTGGTGTCCTGGGTTGCTGGGAGTGAGTGCCTCTAGGCTGCTCTGCTTTTTTCCCATGGGAGGTGGCCACACTGCTGTGGTGCTTACCCCATCTCTCCTCCTTTCTCCATCGCTCAAGTGCCTTCTGCCACAGTTCCAAACTGAATCTGCCACCAAATCCAGCCATCCTATCTCTCAAACTCTTTGGCCAAGAGCTGCTTTATCTTTCTTATTTCAGCAAGTGCCAAATTATTCTCTGGACTTTCTCACCCTTTCTCACACAGCTTTGCTAACTCTGAAGCTTGCAAAACCAAAGATTTAAAAAATGGCAAGCAGTCCAATCTTTAAATTGGAAGCTGGGGGGTTGTGTGATACCCATAAGCTATAACATCCATCTATGGTGTAATTTTATTTTATGTTTTTCTGATTGGCTATGATGATATGAATGATGGCACCCATTGGCAGAGGTGGGAATGGGCGGGCCTTTACCCCCGTCTCCATTAGCCAATGAGGACAGAGAGCTGACCAGCGCTGCTTCCTGTCTCCCACCCTCACCCCCGTCCTCCCCCCTCCCTGCGGCCCAGGTACCTGGCGAACCGCTCCAAGCGGCACACGACGCACGCGCTCACGAGCACATCGCATGGCGAGCCCTCGGCAGAGTCACAGCGGCCCCAGGGCCCCCGCCAGAGGGGGGGCTGGGCCCCCGACATACACACCCGGTGAGGGGACACGCCCGCTCCGAGCTGTATATGCACAAACACACACACACAAACACACATTCATATTAAATGGGCATACGAAGCCTAACTGTCTTTTTCTCACACACACACACACACACACACACACATATACTCACTTGCACACACAGCTGATCTCACACACACATTGGTGATGATGTAGTCACACCAGGTGAAGGTTTTGCACCTTCCAAACAGGAAGGATATTTTTTGTCAGTAGCGGTGTTAGAGGTGGAGGGTGTGGCACATGACAGACATATCTCCACATCACCATTAATCCATGATTCAAAATAACTGTTCCTTCCCCACAAACCTGGAAACATCAGGTATGTGACATTGTTCTTGTATGAGCAGCCTCTCCAAACTAAATCATTACCTCTGTGTGTTTTCTCTCCAGTAGAGGTCATACGCTCATCTTCCTCTCACTCAGTGTAGAAAGTCCGTTGAGATACTGGGTTGTGAAGTTATGTATTGGGATGCAGTGGTAGGCAGAACCCGTTGTCTAAAATATTGCTTGATATCGATAAATGTGTGCCTGTTGTTTAAGGAAGCGTGATCTGTTCAGCAACAACGGATGTGTAAAGCTAGGAGCTGTATATGTTTGTTTATGGAATACTTTTTGCCAAGCAGATGCTTTTTCGATAAAAAAAAATATATTTCTGTAAGTTTTTGTCTCGTTGATTGAAGAAGATGCAGTGACCACAAAGTGTCAAGGATTTAGTGGGATTATAGAATATCGTCAGAGTGCAATTGTCAAAATATTAGGACCAGCTTCCAAACACTAAATCGTAGTCAATTTTGCACAGTTGTTCAAATTTGGAATTCTCCTCGGTCATGATTGACAGGATGGATGAATAATTTAAAGGATAGCCACTGGATTTGTTTGACATATCAGTTGTGTGAATTTTGGGGTCCTAATGTTTTTTACACTCTCAACGTGGCATCTTAGATACTTTAACTTGTAACATTTGTGCTGAACTCAAGCTTCTCATATGTCTGTTTCTGTGTCTGTATGACTGATTGTGTCTGTGTCGATGTGTTTGTGTTATCTGTCATGTTGTGTCTTTGTGTGCGTGTGGCTGTGTGTGCATTGTGTACACACGTGTTTGTGTCTGCTCCCTGTGGTCCCCTCCACAGATCCAGCTATAAGGACTGTAACACCCTTCATCTCCCCATGGAGCGCTTCTCACCTGTCAGACGGTTCTCTGACGGCGCTGCCACCATCCAGGCCTTCAAGGCTCATCTAGAGAACAGCAGCCTCATTAAGCAACTCAAACAGGTACATCCGTCTGCTAGGTATCATGGGATAGTATCTGCTTTTTTCTTGCTTGTTTAGCTTTATGAAAAAATACCTTTTAGCTATAGGAGAAAATAAGGCAACATTTCTGTTGAGGGTCCCTTGGGTTATTGACCAATACCAAACAATTGCTTCTCCATCTCCTAAGATTTCAGAAATGTCCTTCTGGTCTGTACTCTGCTTTGCCCCAACCCCCCTGCCCTTTAAACCGCTCATAGAAGGGCAAACAGTGGCTTTCAAGGCAAAAAGAATTAGTAATACACTGCAGCTAGTCTGATGCAATTTTTTACTCTTAGGAATACAAACCAAGATCAGTGTCAATGCAGTCAGTGTAAGAGCAAAGTGTAGCAGTTTAGGGTAAAGTCTTTTTTTATGTACGGTCCAGCTGATTTAGACATTTGCTCTCACACATACAGCTAGATATAGATCTAGATATGTCTAGATAAATTCAGATTAGCAGTGTATGTGTGTGCAGATACGGTTTAAGACTAGAGCAGGGGCTAACAAAGTGAGAGGTGAAACAAGGTCACAGAAGCACATGTTGAAAAGCTTACTTGTGAGCAGCAATGCCACAAGAGACCCCCAGGACTCATTCTGCTAGGACAGGGATCGAACTTGAAATAGAACTGGACATGATATGATGGTCAGATCTGGGAATGGAAGATAAATATATTCTGGCAATGGTCACATAAGGATATGTGTGGTGAGACCAGGCGACAAAGTAGTTCCAGAGTAGGCAGAGCAGGGACGTAGTCTTGGGGATTACTGACAGTAACGGTAACGGAAACGAGACAAATACAAAACTGTTACTGTTTTTTTTCCTTTCAGATATGTCAGTACAGTAACAATATTTAAACATTTTGTTTTTAGCTGTCAACATATGGGACAGATGCTCCTAACTGATTGTGCCTTTAAGAATATTCACAAAGTGCATCTAAACAACACTTTGAATGCATTGTAAAATGAAATGCGGGTGTATTAAAAACACTAACACCTGAACAAAAATTTACCATGAAATAGGGGAAGTGTCCTGTGGTCTTGACAAAAAATGGTCACAGTGAAAGTCAGGTCCACATAAGGCTTCACTAATCTGTTCGTAATCAAGTGATATCCAGAGCTTAAACTTGGTGAACTGAGCGTTGTTCTGAAAGTAGGACTCAATTTAGACTTGCTGTATCTCTGACGCACAATATACAATGTTTCTTAAGGTGAGTTCTAAGTTGTTCTCATGAGAAAATCTCAAGCTGTATTTTGAGACATCACATCATTTGCAGTGACACCTGTATGAGATTACCTCACCCAGTCAGAGGCTGGTTAATCATCATGTTCACAGCGTGTGCTTCATCCTAGGCATGTACCGACGTGCTGGGATTATCATTACTCCCAAGAGTTAAGAGGGTTAATATGGATAGGAGAGAGGTTAACACACTTGACCTGTACCCTGAAAGGACCACTGAAAAGATTCACTGGAAGTAGGGCTGGGCGATGTGGCTTCAAAATAAAATCTCTGATTTTTTTTTAATCGATTTTTTTTGTAGACTGTTTTTTAGCGGGTGTTTGTGGGCTGCGGTCCTGTATATCTCGCAGAGAGCAAATTTCTCCCACTCTGCTGCATGCCTCTGTTTGAGGTGCTGGAATAAATTGGTCGGCTGCTACCTTTGGTTGCTAACAGCTTTCAAACAAACTTTGCAGTGGGTCTGTTTCGGCTGTCGACGCGCACAAAAACCAAACCAGTTCCAAACAACCGACGACACTCGTGCCTTTTTTGGGGACGCAGCCTCATCCTGGCTTGCTGCCATGTTGTTATCTGTGGAGAGGCGGGGGGAAGGGGTCACGCACCTCTGACCTACGGGAGCCCAAAGGGACGGCCGGTGTTGTGGAAGTTCAAGAGAAAACCGATTTTAACTAAAAAAAAAACGTGTTTAACTACGAATTCGAATTAATCGATGAAATCGATTTATCACCCAGCCCTAACTGGAAGTAAACAGGTGCTGGGACGATTGAGTACATCATATGTATTGTAGCTGGTCCTACAAGCTGGTTTTTCATGGGTTTGGAGTGGACTTGGAGATATTAGGTTTCAACATCTCGCATGTGGCAGGAAATTGGTTCGAACTTGCATTCAGTAAAAAGATTGAATTTTTTTGCCAGTATGGACATGAGATGGGTTTTAAATTGCATACATACATGGAGTGCTGCTTGGGTGTTAAGAAAAAAGGTGTCCCTCTGGTGCTCTTCAGTTAGGGGATCCTACTAGTTAAGAACTGTTGAAGAAATCGGAGGCACTCAAGAGAGCAGTGATGTAAAAAGCCTGTAATATCTCATGGTTATTTACTCATAGTGATAGTTTAAAAAAAACATGCCTACGCCAATCAGGGCAAATACAAAATGGTTGCCTTAAGGCTGTTCCTTATATCTGTCGGCAAGCAGTCACATGATTAGTGTAGACGGGTAGTCACATGACAGATGATGTTCAGCAGAGGAAACTAAACCAACTTCAAAAAGCCAGCAAAATGTCAGGATTAAACAATCAGCTCAGAAAAAAACTAGTTTCAGCCATTGTTTGATTACTTTTTATTTATTTATGCTACTTTTCTACAGCCAACACATTGCCCACAGTTGGAATTACTTCCCATGTTAGCATGTAAGTTTAATATTAGGGCCACATGTCTGTGTTTCAAATAGGAGTGTGAGCAGCTCCAGAAAATGTATGCTGCCCAGCAAGATGAGCGATTCCTGGAGCACACCCAGCAACAGCATATCCTCTACCAGCAAGAGCAACAAATCCTCCACCAGCAAATCCAGGTATTTCAACCTGTCAAACCGCTGTCATAAAGACGCCTTTACAGCCAAATCTACCCAGGGTGGTTACAAAGAGCACTACGATGTTAGTTCTGGCAGGATTGGTTTAGCTGTGTTACGTGAGCGCTTATAGCAACTCTTCATAAGTCTTACATTATGTATGCATTATACTGAACTATGCAGGTATAAAGTGTGTATATTTAAGCTTTATAGAAAATGCTGTTGATTTGGTTCACCTGAGGCTTGGATATCCTGCACTATGGTTTCATTTGTCTCTCCTTTCTTTGCGACAAAGAAACCACCACACACACTTTATATGTTGTCATGCAGCCAGCCTCAAGTAATCATAATTAGATTAACATAGAATTATATTAAAGAATCAAATGTAATTACTCTTTACCTGCAGGGTCTGTCTTTAGGCCATGGAGAGAGCCAGCCCAGCCACCTAACCCACCAGCTCCAGAGGTGAAAATACACACACACACACACACACACATATTACTCATCAGCTATTGAACGCTGAACAATAAACTTGATACTGTGGTGCAGTGCTATCGACTGAAGTGTTACATCATTGTCGTATCTCTCTCTTCTCCTCTCCTACTCTGTCCTGTCCTCCCTCAGGTTGCGTATCCAGCCCTCCAGCCCTCCGCCAACACATCCCAGCAACCACCTCTTCAGACAGCCCAACCAGAGCCCTCCGCCTGGCTCTGCAGGCATAATGCAAGGGCATGGTTAGTAATACTGTTGCTAGAGTGCTTAAATGCTTCTTAATCTCGTAACTGATGTAAACTTGGTTGTTTAATTAGAAATGTATAGATCCATCTTCCTCTCTTCCAATCGTTCTGACAGCTTTTATAAATAGTTTATCTCAAAGCTCAGTTTTGACTGTTAAGCACATCTTACTTTCGTTATTCATGGTTATGTGGATTATAAGGTATTGCATTTGTATTTTTTTTTTTTTAAATATATATATACCAGGCTTCAAGCCTGTAATCCAGTCTCTGGCTTTTGTCATCTATAAAAAAAAACACTGACATCTGACATACGTTAGTTTTTGACATTAGGTTATGAATAATGCACTAGTTCATGCTGACTCAGTGAAAATGTTTTTTCATGTGTGACCAGGGGCAGCAGGTGGGTAAACATGTCAGTCATCAAAAACACAATAACTTGTGATTACGATGTTTAGATAACTGATTTTATTTACTTATTGTAACACGAACCATTACTTAGGGTTAGTAAAAGTAGAAAGTCGAAAAAGTAGTAATAGACATGTAGTTTGCAACCATCCAAACAAGCTTAAATAGATAAAACAAAGCCCAACTAAACTATGGAAAATTAAAAAATTAACAATAAACAAGGGTTCCTGAATCGATCAATGCAATGCTTTGAACCTTAAAATCCTTATTGGGGATGCTTAATTGTTCCCTCTTTGTAAAAATTCACTCTCATTGCCAGAGGGATTTTGGTGGCTCAGAGACTACTTAAAGGATGTTGTCGGCTTTCGGTAACTTTGGCCCGAGGTTTTGCTCTCATGACTCCTCTGCTCTCCTCTCTCCTCCTAGGAGGTCCGTCATCAGTGCAGTACCAGCACGGTACTGCAGCGCTGTATCAAGGCCAGAGTGGCAGCCCACCTCCCACAGGCCTGGCACGCGTCTCTCTACCAACCAATCAGCAAGCAGCATCTGCACGCCCCACCGTCCCACTGGCACAGGGTGTACCTCAACAACAGCAGGTGACTGCAAAGAGCCAATAAAATTGAGCTTTTGTCATTGTTCTCCCTGCTGATGGCTACATGTGTTGTTGTTTTTAATGATCTGACATTGACTGTTTGTACAGGTGACCATTCAGGTTCAGGAAGTGGAGCTGGGAGGTGGGGCGCAGCGACAGGGCAGCTTTTTGTCCACGCCAGGTGGACACAGAGTCCTCGGGAAGCAGCTGAGCGCAGACAACGCCGAGTCGCACAGGTGACCCAACCCATCATGTCACCACGTCCCCTGATGGCGGCCAAACCCTCCCAACAATACCAATGGACTATTTCTGTGTCTTCTTCCTTTTCCATCTCTTTTATTTTTGTTTTATTACTCTGCATGACCTCACCACTCCTAATAGACATTTCCCATTTGTTGTATTTTTCTGTGTATGATTTTGTATTTCTCACTGTTTGGTTTGTTTTACATTTCTGCTATGTCCACTGATTTTCTATAAATTGTATTTTGAAACTGCTGGTCAGGCCAGAGATTTTATGTGTGAGAGAGCAGACTTTGTTATCAGTATTGAAATTTAATGCAATTCCCTCATCAACTTTGCTGAGATGACATCTTCAACAAATTCTCCACCTCAGTGTAGCTTGGTGAGTGGTTGGGTGCAAGTGTTTTGCTGTATGTAAAGTAGATCAGTCACCCTGTGACCCCCTACATCATCACCATAAATGGCTCCCTGCATCAGGACAGCCTTCACTGAAAGAACGTGTGACAATCAAATTTATCTTTTGGAAATGACGTTACACCTCTCAGTGAATACCTGAACTTGGACTTGACCTGAAGTGTTTAGAGGCTGTCGGTGTGCGGTGATTTAATGAAGGCCTTTTGTAGATTGTTGAAAGAAGGACTGAGAGCGTGTTGATGTCAGACAACAGTTAGCCAATTATTCTCTGCATTCCCTCTTTTCTCTCCAGTCGCAGCCTTGGTCGCTTCACATCGGGCTATGACCAGGCTCAGTTCAATCCCCACCTTTTCTCTGGCGACGCCACCTCCCGGGGCGTCTCCGGAGTGGTCGGCTCCTACAGCCCCTACCTGCAGGGTGCCTCCCTCAAAGTCCCTGGCCTGGAGGGTTACCAGAGCGGGGTGGTGGGGACCAGCAGCTACGGCACCCCCTCTACACTACAGCAAGCCCTGCTCTCCCCAACTCCTTTGGACTACCGCCCCCCACAACAGCACGTTACTCCCACACTGCAGGGCCTCCTCTCCCCCCGCCACTCTTTAACAGGCCACGCCGACCCCAGGCTTCCCCCACAAGATCTGGCTGCCTTGCTGAAGAGGCACAGCCCTCGGCCGTGCCAAGCACCCCCCACGCCACCCAGCGGCGCACCCCAAGAGTATGAAGAGATGCTGCTTCTCCGTCAGCTGAGCCAGGGTGAGAGCTTGGAGCCACCGGCGCCGCAGGGTGCCTCCGGGGGCCAACACTACCATCACCTCCTCCAGATTCGACCCCCGGATGTCCAGCCGCAGCAGCACCCGGCCCAGACACCTTGCCCAGGCTTACCTCACTCAGAGAGCATGGAGGAGGATGAGGTGCCAGCTGGCTACCACCACCCACATGAGGGCCTGCTGGCCAAGGCAGGTGAAGGTCATGAGCTCCTGGGGCCTCCCCGAGGAGGCACCCCACCCTACAACTCCCCTACACACAGGCATGGTGGCTACATAAGAAATGCTCCAGCAACTAGAGGTAAGAGTAAAAGCCGAATACAGACATCCAGAGTCCAATATCTCTTCTGACTGACTGTTTACTTTGACCTTTGTGCTGCTGGCTTACATTAAAAGATTACAGACGTTAAGATTAACATCGTAGCGGTTTATTTTTTCACTTGCTGTGTTAAAACCCTCACATAGTATATTTATGCATATGCCTAATCTTTCCTCTCAGAATCTGAGCATGTGGAGTGCAGGCCCCAGGGGCAGGCAATGGAGGTGCCTGATCATAATGGTGTGGGCTATTCGCGAGGTCCACAGGGTGACGCCTATAGGTCCCGTGGACAGCTACAGCGCCACCACACCATCCAGACCTGTGACGATGCCTACGTAAGTGAATGCTCACTGCTAGTTTTTGTAGTTAAAGCAACATTATGTAAGAATTTGTTTGGATTTGGCAGTACCACTGTCGTAAATTTAGACAAAGGGATGATGGGAACAATCTCACATTTGCATGGCATGTTATTATCGGCTGGGTGTTTATTGTAGAGTATGAATAATCACCTTATCTTGCTGGTCAGTGCAGTGCTGCAGAGAGCCTGTTTAGTAGGATGATAGCTGAAGGAAGAATGTAATGACAGGAAATGTACTTATTTATGTTATTATGTACACTCATTTAGACATCGACTCGCTATTAGCATCCACAATCATCCAGACAAAGCTCTGATTCATCATAGCTGTTCAGTAAGTATCAGTCTAAAACTGTTGGCCACTTTGTGTCCAGGATCAGGCAGACCCCATGTCTGGGATGAGCCTGTTGGCCGGGAAGGCACTAAGCTCCGCTCGCATGTCGGATATCCTCAGCCAGACGTCACTGACAGGAAGCCAGCAGCTGCACCAGCGGGAAGAGTTGGGTGAGTCGGAGATGTGCATTTATCTACCTTCAAATACAGATTGTGTGGATTTTCCCTTCGTCCATGTTGGTAAATGACCTGTGTTCCTCATGCAGTGTGTGATGTGGAAGGGGAGCTCCATGCGGCAGCCTGCTACCCCTCCTCCTGCACCAGTGACATGCTCCTCAGCTACAAGCCCCCTGACCTGCAGTACAGCATGGAGCAGGCCGGGGTCTAGCACAGGTACGCACACGCACACGCACACACAATTCAAGATTTAAGTGTGTATCACCTCTGTAATTCTAAATGAGTAGGATATCAGTTAAGTAATTGTCCAGCAAGTTCTTTTTGGCATTTATGGTTTACTCAACATTTATTACCTGGCCATTTTTTATGTGAGGAAGTGACTGTCTATAAAAAGTATGACCTCCCTTGGGTCTTTTCATATTTTTGTTTTACAAATACCATTAAACTTTTTGACGCCGATCACTCTCAAATGTCAAAATGAAAACCAATTAATCCAATTTATGTTTGTATTAACACACAAAATGATTGATGACTTAAAGCAGTCAGAACTTATAGCCCGTTGAGTCTTAGTGCTTTATGATGGACTTTACTAGTTGCCAGTTTGTTTTGAATGTTAGTAGTTTTTGACAGGAGATTGACTTTCAGTTTTGGTGATAAAACATAACAAAGTTAGTCTTCCATAAAGTAAGGGGACTTGTGAGACACATATTACAAAAATGTGTAGTGTCCAAGGCCAAACATTCAGGTTCTTCTTTCCCTCTCCTTTTAGGATGGGGTGTATCCTGTGTGCAGCGGTCCATATCAGCCATCCTAAGTTGTGTTGACTTGAGTTGAGCAGCATCACGCCAAACCACCGCCGTCTGCCCAAGCGGGGGCGCTCTACGTCCATCTGTCTGTCTCCATCTGTCCCTGGGAGGGCAGTCTGCGCGAGAGAGGGGGAGTGTGGGTGGGTGTAGACATTAGAGGGGTTGGGGTCGACAGGTGGGGGGACCTCGGGGTTCAAAAGTCAAAGTGCCAGCATTTTCTGCACAGACATCCAGCATTCATCGCCGCCGGTTGTCTCCTCTTCTCACCTCACATCATGGGTAGATTGGGGTTCCACTCCTCCCTCTTTCGACTCAACCCCCTCACCTCCTCCTCCTCCCCCACGCCCACCTGCTGTCCTGACCCAATCCTCCCCCTTTCACCCTTCGTCTTCTATTAACTGTTGGCATACTTCATTACGTGCCTCATTGGCCAACACATCGATACAGTCATACGTGCAAGAACATAGAGTCCGATAACACAAAGAAACATACACACTGCTGCCACAAACCCAAAGTATTCACATTAGGAGTGTGTGTGTGTGTGT